AAATTTATAATCCCAAAAACAGACATTTTCACCCCAGAGACGTTCACGATGAATTAGATTGGGTTTTTTACTTACACAACTCGCATTTCTGTCTGATTAGAAGAAGCCAAAAAAGTTTGGGAATTCAACTAATAGAAGACAATTACGGTTACAGGTGTGGAAAACGTGTAGAGACGATAACGCAGTAACACAGGTTTCACCTCTCAAACTAAACGTGCTTTCAAGTATGAGTGATGATGCGTTATTCGCATGGGATTGCGAAACGTATTCAGAAAAAGACACGCGAAGAGCAATTCCTTATGCCTGCACTTTAATTAATTTACAAAAACTAAGGAAAATGTTAAACAGAATAAATAATCTCTTTCCAGATTTAAAGCCGTCAGATCCCATTCCAGAAGAATTTTACAACAAACTCATGACTAATATAGTAGAAATATTTGTAGGTACAGATTGCATCGATCAAATGTTGAAATATTTAGGTCAATATGATAGAAAGAGATTAACATTAATTTCTCACAACGGCAGTGGTTTCGACAACTGGATCGTGCTTAAAAATACAAAAAAACTAACGCATTGCCCTTTAAAAACACCCAGAGGAATTCTATCTTTTCCTTTATCTAATCCATACACGGATGAAGATTTACAGAAAAAATGGAAAAGACAAGAAAGAAATAAAGGGTAATTATTTACAACATATTAATTACACGTGTTCCTATCAACACGCTGCATGAGGAAATTCTTCCAATCTTCCCGCGAATTTGAGAAAGATTTCCGACGTAGATATCGCTAAATACACGCAAGACAACTGTGAGGAATTGAGACACCAATGGGAACCTTACGCCAAGAGAGACACTCTCTGTTTGGGAGCTTGTGTGATAAAATACAACCAAGTCACGAAAGAAGTTGTAAACCAGAATATGTCCAATAATCTAACGGCTCCATCTTTATCTTTAAAGGGTTCGTATTATTTATATCATTACGATAAAGAAATGGTGGAAGAAGAATGGTATAAAACTACTAGAATGGTTGCGAAACATACCGAAAAAGAAAATATAGAAAAAGTTTATTAAACCTTTTATAAGAAATTTTATCAGACGATCTATTAAAGGAGAAAGAGTTTCGGCAAATAGAAAATCATTTGAAACGAACAAAATGGATGAAATTTGTAACGTATTAAAGGAATATATTTCACAAACAGAAAGTAATAACATAATTGATTTATTCAAAGAATACAGCACAAGCACAAAAGACAAAACGGAAGTTCATTCGAGACTTAAAAAAATGGAATGTACTAAACTAATGGCATTTGATGCTAACGGTTTATGCGCTTCCGCCATGTCGGATTTAGACAGTGCATATCCGAGAGCGGAAAGTGGAAGACCGTTTCTACCAGAAGAAGAAAAAGAATTTGTAAAACTCTTCAATAAACAAAAATTCAGTCCTAGAACAGCTATTTCAACAGTGTGGTTTGACTATCCCACAATATTAGATGGTATAGTTTACGAAGAAAATTTTAAAACTCCACCCTATAGAGATTATATTTTAATTTTGAGAGATTTAAGAAATAAATATAAACGAGAAGGTAATATCGTGGGTAGTAGTTGCATGAAATTATTAGGTAATTCCTTGTATGGTAAATCAATTACAAGAAGATGGCTGACGGGTGAAAGTTGTCTGCAGGTTGTCTGAAGTTTCTTCCAAATAACTTCAAATATATAAATGTGAAAACGTATTTAATAGGATGAGAGGATATATCTTAAGCAAGGAAAATATATAATTGAAAACTGCAGTGTAAAAATGTGAATACTACAGCTTTTTAGACATTTGTATGTTTTAACACCCAAGACAGTAGATTGATACTAAATATAGATCAAGATCAAAGGGGTGACAAGCTGTCAGTGACAACATTTTACCTGACCTGCTCTATCCAAATAAACAATCAACATGTCAACTGAAAAGGGAGGCTCCAAAATACCAACAAAAATATCGACAAAAACCCCGCCCGCAAAAACGACAAAGAGAAGGCTCTAATAAATCAGAAAATGGAAACCTGGAAGCTGATGTTCAAAACTTACTTGAAACACATGCTCTACTATCAGAAAAACTGAACTCCATGATGACAAAAGATGACATGTCGGATATGATAGGAAAGATAACAGAAAGCGTACTTCATCAAATTCGAAAAGGAATCACCATAGAATTCCAGAAAATCGAAGACAAACTGGAAGACAAACTCGAGAAAATAGCTTCGCAAAATAATGTCCTTATTAAGAAAAATGAACAATTAAAGAAACAAGTGAGTGATTTAAACTTTAAACTTTATGATTGCAATGAAGGTGTAAAAGAATCATGAGAATAAGCAATT